TGAGCCAAACCGGTTTCGGCAAGGTGTCATAATAATTTTACTTAAGAAGTTATTTTTAAGTGACCATTATCTTATGGTTGTAACACCTGTATTTTCATATTTTACAATCTCTGAACTTGGTATTTGAAGATAATTATAATCTGCAATTGCAATTTGCAGTGTTTTTCTTCTTTCTCAGTGGAACATAAAGTACTGGTGTGCCTGACACTAATTTTCATGAAAGAATATTTTATATCCATCCTCCCTTATGACTTTTTCTCACCTAGTGCTGATGGTAAGCTTTTTAAATAAATGCGAATGCTCCAAGTTGAGGCCCTCTCCACGAAAAGTTTCCCCACCATTTTCCTTCCTTTATTTATTAATTATTATTATTATTATTTTTAAATCCTCATCCAAGGAAGACAGAGAAATATTGATGTAAGAGAAACAATTCAATTGATGCCTCCTGCATGAGCCCCGACCAAGGCCTGGGTCGGGGAGGAACCTGCAACCAAGGTATGTGCTCTTGACCAGAATCGAACCTGGGACCTGTGGTCCGCAGGCCAACATTCTGTTAATTGAACCAAACTATTTAGGGCCCATTTTCCTTCCTTTAATAACCTCACAGCTCTTTATATTCCTGATCCAAACATCTTTTCTCTTTGTGGCTTTTTTCTTTTAACCTGTTTTCATTTTACTTTAAAAAACTTAAACTTTTATACAGACTGTCTAATTGCTAGTGTGATCATCTAACACAGACGAAAATGTGCTAATGCGTCTTTGGGATAAAATATTTAATTGCCTACATGTTCCAAGTTAACTTCGGAATGTAAGTTAGCGAGTATTGTGCAGAGCCCTTTGCTTGCAGGTGGTTGATAATTAGTGAGACGTTGTGGAATGTTTCACAAATAGCACAGTAACACAGACCCTCTTCAGTGGTGCCAGAAAGAACACCTCTCCACACCTTTCCTTTTGGTAAGATCTACCACCTTCCTTTCCCCCTCTGATAGCTACCCATGCGAAATCTTTTTCTTCCTGTAAACTAACAGGCTCATTTCTTTTGAACTTTCACATCAAGAACTGCTCTCAGGTACAAACGCTTTATTTCAAGAAAAGAAAAAAAAACAAAACAAACAAGAATCTCAGTGCTGCTCACCAGCATGACTGTGAAGAGGCAGAGAAGTGGCAGAGAAAAAGTGTCTTGGCTCTGGCCAAGAGCAGGTGCCTCCATCACCCTGTTAACCTTATTTCCTCTACTAACTGCTGGATGATACCATCTATATATATAAAATCCTAATATGCAAATAGACCAAATGTCAGAACAATAAAACAACCAGTCACTATGATGTGCACTGACCGCCAGGGGGCGTGTGTGGAACATGGCAGGAGTAGGCAGCAGGGGGCAGAGCATGGAACAGGGCAGGATGGTGGAGCAGGTCAGCAGGGGTGCCAGACCAAGGTGGGGCACCAGTTATTGTCATCAGGGTGAGCCTCTGGTGTTTACTGAAAATTCTTTGCTCCTGCGTGCCTAAGTCTCACCTGGTGCTTGCACCCACTGCTGGCACCAGAATCATTGCTTGCACTTGCGGCCCAATCTCTTGGCTGCTGGTCCAATCACCACTCAGGGCTTCTCCACTTCCCCCTGCTCTTGAGGGGTGATCAGGGCAGCAGCTGCCACTTGAACCTGCTGCTGGGGCAGCCCCAATCACTCTGAGCCATAAGTGGGTACAAGTGCGGCTGATGCCGTCAGAACGTGAGAACAGAGGTAGCAGGAGCGGGGCTGCTGGCAGACAGGGGATCAGGAGCCATGGCAGGAAGGGCAGAGCAGGGTGTGGAGGATGAGCCGAGATCCACCCTTATGCCCACCGCAGCCTTGCAACCCACAGTTCCTTTCAAGGTGCGTGAATTCATGCACTGGGCCCCTAGTCTCAACCCATTCTGATTGGCTGTAACTAGGTTCCACCAGAAGAAAGTCCCAAGTCTTTCCATGCAAATGTACTGGCCTCCAGGACAACAGAGGCCTGCTGGGGCCAGTGGGAAGCGTGACACAATAGATTCCACAAGCGTGGAAAGTTATTGCTTGCAAAATACTCGTTACGTTTAAATCCAGAGAACTGTTTGCTGCATTTTACTTCAAGTGGGTATCTAAAAAGAACAGATTTTCCCCCTCAAAACAGATAGTTAATAGAATGAGAAGTGGATTCTTGGGTGATCATCAGCCTGGTTGGTTGTTTACCCAAAACAAAAGTTGGGAGATGAAGGCAAGAGAGCAGTGATGTCCCTTTTTGAGTTGAGTTTTCATCTCCAAGTGTCATGTTCAACCTGATACCCAATGTTAAGGTGTCTCTAGGTAGTGAGGATTTGCATAAAGTAATCACAAATAAATTATTATTTCCTGCACTTCACAGTCATTATTTTCTATTCATAATAGTCAAAACTGAGTTTCATCTCTATAGCTGGGTTTCAGTATAGATCATTAAAGCAATCATTGTTCTCCAGGTAAAATGTCTATTGGTTCAAGTTCAGGGTTATCAACAGGGCTGAAATGCTTACAGTAATAGTAATTAGTTAATATCAACCTGTGCTATTCAATGTCTGAGCATCAAGAGAGCTCAAGAAATTGCAGCCTTTCTGTCTTCCTGGGAAGTAGACAAAGACAATGATTAGTGGCAGGTCTGTGATGAGTTACCCCCAACACAGACATTTCATCTGGGACAGATTCAGGAAATGAGAGGTGGATTGAAACCCCCTATTTGCTTAGAACTTACCAAGGACAGGTGGTTTGCCAAATACTTAGGATTAGGAATTAGGCAATAATATCCTGGACATTTATGCCACCTGACCTTGTACTCTAGAACTCCTACCTATAGTTCTGAATAGCTGATATAAGCATCCACAATTGGTTGGTCGCCAGGTCATGACTTTCTCCCTCAATGAAAGAGAAGGAGTGAGGAGTAAAATGGAAAATACCCTTTTGGGGTAAAACCCATGGTTCATGGACCATAATTTATGGAACTGTGAAAGCTGTAAAGTCCCACAATGTGTTAGCTGCACCCATATCTCTGACTTGGGAGTTCTACCCAGTCTCTTTCCTGAGGTCAGTGCCAACCTGGTGGAATACCTGGCAACCTGGCAGAAAACACCGTGACTCTGTATCTAACCCCCAGGCTCAAACACAAACCAGAGAAGGGGTTTACTTTACCTCTTCCTTCTCGCCCATAAAACTACTGTACTAAATCTGATTCCGAAATATTCTGAACGTTTCAAACCTTAGGTCTACCTGAAAAATTCTTTTAAATAAAGAGGAAATAAACTTCTGATTTGGCGATTCTTCACTTGTTTTTAATAAACAAGTGGGTAACTTTTTCAACATGCCCTTTCTAGATGCAGCCACCTAATTGGGTGGCACAAAGACATTAAGTTAGGTATATATATATATATATATATATATATATATATATGTGTGTGTGTGTGTGTGTGTATATATATATATATATATATATATATATATATATATATATATAAACTTTCAAAAATTTAAATGCAGCCCTGGTTGGGCGGCTCATTTGTCCTGTACCACTAAAAGGTTGCAGGTCTGATCCCTTACCTAGGTTGTGGGTACATATGGGAATCGACCATTAATGTTTTTCTCTCACATCAATGTTGCTCTCTCCCTGCCCCCTCTAAAACAATCAATGAAAACATATCCTCAAGTGAGGATTTTAAAAGATTTAAATTTATTACGTATGCTTTATTTTGAACACTAATTTGTGTTCAAAATAAAGCTCTTTGGCCCCTTGAGTGTGGCTCTTCCACAAAATACCACGGCCTGGGCGAGTCTAATTTGAAGAAGTGGTGTTAGAAGAAGTTTAAGTTTAAAAAATTTGGCTCTCAAAAGAAATTTTAATCGTTGTACTGTTTTTGATATTCGGCTCTGTTGACTGAGTTTGTCGAGCACTGGTACAGTAGAGCATGTACTATGTAATTAACCAATAAATGTGTACATTGGTGCTCAAAATTTTTTATCAATGGCTGTGTAATTAAAGAGGTTTGAAGATACTGCTCTAGCTAATGGCCTTAATATCTTTTTAAAAAATGTGTACGTTTTTTCTTTTTTTAGGGAAGAGTAGGAGGAGGGGAGAGAAGGGAGAGGAGAGAGAAACGACTGGTTGCCTCTCATACACACCCTGACCGAAGGCACTCTGACTGAGAATTAAACCAGCAACCTCTGGGTGCACAGGACAACTGAGCCACACTGGCCAGGGCTTAATATCTGTTGTTAGCCACAGACAAGCAGGCATGTATTCAAATACATAAGCAAAATCAGTACCTTGCAAATCTAGTATCTCTAAGAGACAGAAAATACCTCCTATTGTGCCAGGGGCACAAGTAGTTTGGGATCAGCCTAATTACTGGTCTGTCTTCCATCCATTCCTTTTAGTTTACAGCTGCTGATTACCTTTCGGAGGTGTTTGCCTGCAAAAAAGAGGCCCTGCCTGTTGAAACTTAACAAGAAAGGAAAGAAACGGATGGACTTTCATTTGTTCATTACTACTGAGCCCTGTCTCTCTGAAGGTATCATTTTGTTTTAATTTCTAACACCGATTAATAAAACACACATACCAATGTCTGTAAAAACACAAAAGGCATTTTAAAGGAACAGGGTCGTTTTTTTTTTTTTAAGGAAACCCAGTACTCGGCCTATTCCGATCTCAGCGTACCACACCTAGGGATCACTTTTATACTGACAGAGACATCCTTCCACGTGACTATGGCCTTGAGGCCTATACCCAAGAATGTGGTGGCTTACACACAGACAGGACTCGGCTAGTGGCTCATCCTGAAATTTCTGCTTGACAGAGGCAGGATGTGTATACCCGTCTTTCCAACGTTTCTACACCACTGGCCAAAAAATAAACAAACAACATACTACATACGTGCATGCATGCATGCACACACACAGATGAGACAATGGAAAAGAAAGAAGTTGCAGCTGTCTCCTAAGTGACAGGACAGGGTACCTGGGATGCTCTCTAATTTCCGTCGGAGTTCTTCGTTTTCTTGTTGCAGGGAAATGACCTCATGCTCCAGCTCTTGGCACCTGGGGCAGTAGCCTTCCTCCTCCTCTTCCTCCTCCTCCTCTTCGGGCAGTGTAGAGGACGACGGGTGACCGTGGGACTCAGACGTTGCCGGGGAGGTCCAGCCTCCCAGTGTGTGCACGGGAGAGGTGGACAGAGGGTCCACGTCGGCCAAGTGGCCGAACTCGCTGACGGACGAGGCGTTTGGGGTTGGGAAGCTCCCCGAGAGCAGGTAGTTTTGCAGGGAGTCGGTGAAAACTCTCAGGAAGGCAGAAGTCTGTTGCTTCCTTTGCATATATTGCATCTCTAGGTCTACATTGTCTGCAGTCTGACTGTGGACCCCTTTCCCCACGTGACACGGATCCTGTCTCTCGGTATAACACGAGCCTTCCTGCTTTACGTAGGAAATCATGGACTGGGAATGGCTGGAGTCCAAAAGTTTGCCTCCGCAATTTAGGAGGCTAAGAACCCGACTGCACTGCTGGGCAAAGGCATCCAAGATCATGCGACTCTCTGAAACGCAGGAAGAGACACGTTAGAGGCCAGCAACCAAAGACAAGAGACAAGCCAAGTCCCCAACTTTGAGTTTAACAGGAAAAAGTGTTAAAAAAAAACAAAACAAAAAACGCATTTCCACCATCAATGATTGAGGTGACATGGATAAGGCACTTTTATTTTTTTATTTATATATTTTTTAAAATATTTTATTGCTTTTGTACAGAGAGGAAGGGAGAGAGGTAGAGAGTTAGAAACATCGATGATGAGAGTCATCGATCAGCTGCCTCTTGCACACCCCCTACTGGGGATATGCCCGCAACTAAGGTACATGCCCTTGACCGGAATCGAACCCGGGACCTTTCAGTCCCCAAGCCGACGCTCTATCCATTGAGCCAAACCGGTTTCGGCGGATAAGGCACTTTTAACAGGACGCACAGGATGCCTGATGCGTTGTCCCCAGCCCTTCCCCTGGGAAATGGCTGGACTGTGTGCCTTTGGGCCCCGTGGAGAGGTTTCCCTCCCCGTGGCATTCACTGGCCTGCACAGGTCTGAACTCACACCTATGGCTTCATTAATGTCATTCCTCTAATGAATCGAGCTCGCCACCGCAGACTCAATTTCTCATTGATGGGAGGGCTTAGAGCAATCATTACTTCTATTTCTGGAGTGCCCTCTCGCCCTTGCTATTAATCAGCCGGTACAATCCCTGCCGAGAGTGCGTGGCTCCCAGATACAAATGGAGAAGAGAGGTAAGTCTTTTTGAAGAGCTCACCAGACACCTGAGATTGTACAGAGTGGGCCCATCGGGCACACCACAAGGAGCCCCGGAGCACACCCAGCATCTGTACCCACTGCTCCTTTTAATTCGTCTGCCAACTGGGATCTCTCGCCAAGGCCAATGCTGAGGCTGATCTATGTCAGTGTCATCTGAAAAGCAGGAGTGCCTCTTCCAGCAGGCTGTCACGTCTCCTAAAATGGCATGTGCTGGGAATGCCGGTTGTTCACATACACGAATCCTAAAGCATAGTAACTGCTAATCGGCGAAAGCAAAGAGCAAAGAGAAAGCAATCAATTCACTGGAAAAACAAAGGGAAAAAAAAAAAAAAACCCATCCCAAAATTATGGAAATGTGATTTAATATTGTCAGTCTAAAAGTCTTGAAAATTCATCTAAATATAAATGTCATGAGGTAGATTCACTTCTTTCCTGGCCACCACCCAGCATGGATGAGCTACTTGTAAGTACAGAGAGAGAGACAGACACACAGACACACACACACACACACACACACACACATTTTAGTGCTTACGGAATGGTAAGAGGAAGCCTCTCCCTCCCAGACTCCCCCCCCCCCCAAAAAAAAAAGGGCAACAAACAAAATTGTAGATTTTTGGTGTCAATTAACTCTTGTTTATGACAGAAGTGTAACCAGCTACTTGTCCCTGAAAATGTTGAGTAGCTGTATTTCCCCCCCTGAAAATAAACAAATAAACACCCTCCTCCCCCCACCCACAACTTTTAAAATGAGAAATGGTGAGACCCTCCAGGGCTTCTATGGGTACAAGGAACCATAACAGTTGTGATTAGAAATTGATTTCTCCAGAAATCCAGGATAGATGACCAATGAAACCACCCTTCAGAAACCTCCATGCTCCACTTTGCTTTTTTTCTTTACATTTTATTTATTTACTTTTTGTTAATCCTCACCAGGGGATATTTTTCCATTGATTTTCTCTCTAGAGAGAGGGAAAGGAGGAGAAGAGACACTGAGAGAAACTTAGATGTGAGAGAGACTCACTGAATGGATGATTGGTTGCCTCAGCACACGCCCTGACCAGGGCCAGGGATGGAATCTGCAAACAGGCACATGCCCTTGCCCGAATCGGACCGGGGACCCTTTAGTCCACAGGCTCTATCCACTGAACAAAACCGGCTAGTGTGCTTTTTCCTTCCTATTCTTTCCTGAATTAAGGTACTGGGAGGATTAGAGAGGGGTCCACATCTCCTGTTTCGATTTTCTGGCATTCAGGAAGCACCCCTCATACCTCCCAAATCCATACAATGCTCCTGTCCCCAGATCCCTCAGAAACAATCAGGAGTCAGCACACAGAGGCCGGCGCTCTCAGGCTCAGGACAGGAACAGAGACTACTTTCCGTGAGCACAGTGGGATGGAGGGCACTGGGGTCCGAGGGCGGGCATAAGACCTCAAGAACTACTATTTACTGAGTACATGAGGAAGTCCTGTAAACAAACAGAGGATCTCAGTTCACGGCAGTTTCAGACTTACTTGGGTGGGGGCGGCAAGACCACTGTAAGCGGGCTGGGAGGCCACAGGAGTACTTTCTTCATGGCCTGGTGCTTCCTCACTCTCAGGAGTAGGACTGCACAGGACACAGGTGGGAGGGCCCCTGCTTAGAACCCCCCCGCCCCCCCTCTAGCGCACACTCTCCCCACAGAGAGGAACCGACTTCCCTAGTCCAGCTGCTCCAAGGGCTGGTCTCTTCCCTGAGCCATCTTCCCAAAGACACGCCATGTGCCAGAGCTTGGAAAGTCTGAACTGGGGCATCCATAGGGTGTGTGTGTGTGTGTGTGTGTGTGTGTGTGTGTGTGTGTGTGTGTGTGCATGAGGTCCCTGCTACAGGAAGATGACACCAGGGCTGGCAACAGAAGGCCATGGGCTGCTGAAAGTCAAACGTGGTTATGATGGTGGTGTCTCTGCCAGGGTAGACAGAGAGAACATATTTTTGTTTGTTAGCTTGAGTAGGTCTTTTAATTATTTAGATATATGATGTGTGGGCTTGCATTTGTACTCCTGCCCTGAATCCCACAAATAATAGACCACTAGTTTGAGGGCTAAAGAAGGAACCAGAGGCCAGGCATAGTTTCAAGCCAGAATGGATGGATGGGCCGGGAACTTGGCTAAAGAAACCACCAAGGTAGTCTTGTTTCCTGCCCTGGAGAAAAAGGGACATGGGCATGGCAAGTATCTCTACACACCAACCACTGGAACGGATGACGCTTCTGCCCCCTATAGGTGGAGTCAAGAATTGAGCTGGTGATTTAAAACTTAGTAGGGAAAAAGACCTCAAATATTTGGGTATCATTTCTTGACCATGACCAAACACAAGATAGTAAACAGTTGAACCATTTAACTGGGGAGGGTTAAGATGTTGCCTCCTCATTTCTTTACTTCCGGGTTTTTGTTCTTTTATTAGTAAAATCAAAGGATGATATTGATTGGGAATTTTCAATTCTAGCACGCTAGCAGTTTTCATTCATTTTAATCCTATAATCCCATTCTAGACCTGAAGTTGTATTTACTGTTTGCATTTTAATCAGCATGGTCCCAACTGATTTACAGCCTATACACTGTTAACATAACCTTGGTGAAAGGAACAAAATATGAAAGGGAAGGCTAAAATAGAATTGTCTAGAAAAAAATTGCTCAATATATTTGTTTACTATCCTCAATAAGACGCAGTAGTTTTAATCATATTGACAAATCACACTAGGGTATAGATTTAAGGGAAAAGAATCTGACTTAGAGACAAGTATGATTTGTTTTCTTAATTGAAGGATAAACTCGTAATATGCTGAAAAAGGAATCATTATGTTATACTCTACATTATGAAGATAATGTATTAAAGGGCACTCAGAATATCAGAGAATAGCTACAACCATAAATAAGTTTTTGCTTGCAGTTTTAAAAAAATGCTTCATTCTCAGACTTGATATATGCAAAAACAGCAACTATAAGCGTTCAAATGGAATTTCTTCTCTTTCAGTTTGTTAAAATATTTGAATAGTTTTAATATCAATACATTGAAGAGTGTGATGAAAAATATTACTATTACACTTGGTAGAAAACAGTAAATCTTGCACTTAATACATATTGCAGCCAGCAATACTTCAGCCTTCCAGACAGAATGTCATTAGAAATGCAAGTGTTGTGCTATGCCCGTTATCGCTAAGAAATGGAGAAAAGTTGTTTTCATATGCACACATTTGAATGGCCACTGATCCATGATTCTTAATTGTGCAAAGTATGAACGTGTATTTGGAATTTTTAAACTGTTTCCCCCCTCATTTCTTACAGAATGCTCCACTCAGATGATGGCCGAGAAGTACAAAGTCATCAGTTTACAAAGGGACTTTAAAACTACTTATTTACCCCTAACTTCTCTGACAGACACATAAAATGTCAGGCACAAACCACCCTAAAACGATCAGTTCTGTCTAACTTATTTTGCTTTATTGTGCAGTCTGTTGGGAGGTATCAGGCTGCAAATTGTACCTTATCTGATTCCAGAATCTGAACCCATGATTATTTTTTTTAGTAATTAAAAAATTTCATTTCTCGAATTTTTCTGAATTTAAGTGGTTTAATCCCACCTTAAATCTGTAAGTGAATAAGACGGATAGGAAGTCAGCAATCAAACACAGGGCCCCTATTTTAATGTCCTCCTTTGTAAGCAAAGCCTTGGGTGGAATTTGTCCATCACAGTATACCCCCAAGAGTATTCTGTTTCTCTGAAGGAGATCACAGCAGTTGAGATTAGTGGTAACCTTTTGATTTTAGCCCAGCCAAGGGTGAAATCTATTAATATTAAAAATACAGAAGCCGAAACATTTTTGTGTGACCTACTATTATGTATTTATACAGTATACCTACCCAAAGGATTTCCAGCTAGTTCAAAATAGATTAATTTCCTTATAACATTAATATAACTTCTTTTTAAGAAAGGACGTCATGGCATTGAAAGTTAGAAAATGAAAGCCCTTTGGAAGCATCACCCTTGTCTTAAATCAATGAACGATGTCTTTAAAAAAAAAAATGTCATCCTATTCCCTCCCCCCCCCCCCCCCCCGTAATGGCAAACATCAACACAGCAAAACAGGATGCAATTTTTCTAAATAAATAAATCAATGATGTGTCAAAAATTAACAGATGAGTTAATATACTTGGTGCTATCAAAACCAGATGGTGCTTCCTAATACTCATCCTGCTCAGTCAATCCCTGAATATTTTCTGGACCATCGGTATATAAAATAGGATGCTGCTATTTGTGATGGCAAACAAAAGCAATCATGCCTGCCAAGCACATACTATAACAGGCAGCATTTCAGCTCTGCTAGACAGAAAGTAATTAGAATGCTTTTAATGTCCAAAAGAATGATGCTGATAGGCTGCCGCAGATGTGTAGATTTATGAATATTTATATGGTGGTTTATAGCTGACACTTTTATCAGTTGAAGAAGATAAAATATCTGCCTGACTCAAAAGCTTGACAGTCAGGTTAATAAAATCTCATTAAAGAGAATGACCTATGCAATTATATAGGATTTATTGTAATTCATTTTTGATTGTACTCTGCTTAAAGATGCAATTTCCCATTTCCTGATGCCAAATTTAGGCTGCATATCAAGATCTACGTGGGTTTTAACTCTACGCCTCCCACAGAGGAAAAATAGGTTTTAAAACCATGGTATATCCTCCTTTTAAGGAAAGTTACACTCTTCGTGATATTTTATAAGAACGTTGAAAATATTTTATTTTTAATCACGTATTTCTCCTCTCAATGGTGTATGGCCCATACATAAGATTCACTTCACCCCTTTCATTTTTTTCACTGCATTGATTCTGGACACTCTTCTCTCTCTTCTACCCTTGACTCATTGAATCCCACTGATTCTCTGGCTATTTTCAGTTTTCTTTACCAGGTGGTTTGAGAAAATGGCAATAACACTGTTGTTAGGGGACAACAAATAAATGATCACCCCGCCCCCACCCAGGATGCTTAAGTGGTCTCCCCTTTGAGCACACATTCTCATTGGTTCAAAGCGGAACCACTAGTTCATCAACAAGCCAATCAGCACCTCAGGCAACTGTCCCTCTGATGGTCACTCACATCACTGTGCCTGTGAAGACATGGCCTTGTCCATCAGTGATTAATAGGAACACAATTCATGAGGTCTAGGACCACGGGCTATATTTTCCCTCCAGACCAAGCACGTGATATCTGACCTTTGGTGTTATCAAAGGTACCACTCTATGACCTCTAAAAAAAAAAAAAAAGAAAAAGAAAAAGAAAAAGAAGAAAGCCTTGAATATAATAGTAAGGGGCTATCAACAGCCCCTTTTCACTTCTTTAGACTGAGTGATGTGATTTCCACCCGGGGACAGAGACAAAGTGGAAACAGGAAAAGAGAGCACAGTGAGTGTAAGCAGCAGGGAAAAGTGCCGGAGTAGGAAAGACTATGGACAGGATAGCAACTGACTAGTGCAGGGAAAAGGAAAAAGCAAGGTTAAAATAAAACTAGGTGAAAGTGGAAATGAGAAAGGCAGATTTATTGTGTCTAAAAGGAAGCAAAAGACTAAAAGTCGGCGATGCCTGACAAGAGAAAGCAAGGTGAGAGCAGGCTACACAGGACAGAAAAAGGAGAGGGAAAAACCAGAATGAACACGGTGGAACTGAGGTTATGCAAAGGAGTGAAGCAAAATAGAGAAAACAGGAAAAAAAAGGCTCAAACTTGTGAAAAACAAAATAAAAATATAGGAAGATAAAGCATCGCTGGGGAATAAAAACGGGCATGAACAAATCAAATCCTGGGAGAAGGAAAACAAACCTCTTACGGGGGGGGGGGGGGGGGGTAAAACAGAAGGAGGAGGAGGAAAATAAAAGTGGGCAAGTATCCTGAGAATGAATATAAAAAGAAAACAGAATCCTGGGGCCCAGAGCAACGGAAACAAACAAAACACCACCGTGAACACCCACCTAAGAACCCCCTTCAACGCAGTCCAACGTCTCCAAAGCAGTGAGGTATGTAACAAAACAAGCCTGCAATTAGATTTTCTTTCTTCAAAACCAATCCTTCAAGTGTCCAAATGGGGCACCTAGAACTCATTGAGAGACAATGCTCGCATTTTCATTAGAAACAACGCCCTGGATTCATTGCTAGGCAGCATTCGGGGGGCAAAGGGGCCTCTAAAGTGTCCTCCAAGGCCTGAGCAGGAACTTTTGGATCTGATGAGCCAGAAAAACGTGTTTGCCTGTCCCCAGGGAGCAGAGAGGGCCCAGGTTCCCAGGCCCCAGGCTATGCTCTATGCTGGCCCACCATTCCTCCCGCTGCCAGGCAGGGGGGCTGGCCTTCTCCCAAGGCTCCCTCCCTCCTGCCCCGCAGGCTCCAGGGGGAGGAGGGGAACCTGGCACCCTGGGGTGCACCCGCTGCACCAGGCATTTCTGCAGGCCCGGCCCCATGCTCCGGGGCGGGAGACCCCGCGGCGCGCAGTGTCCCAGGCGGGGAGGCGCGCGGGGCGGGGGTCTGCGTGCCAACCGGGAGCGCCCGGGCTCTCGGGGCAGGAAGCCTCCTTCCCGGAGGAGGGCCGCGGGTTCGAGCGCCGATCCACCAGGCGGCGGGGGCAGAGGAGCCCCGGGCCGGGCTGAGACTTCGGGGTGGGGGGTGGGGGGGGGTGGATAGGTGAGCAAAGACACCGAAGCAGAGGCGACGCGCGCACCGGAGCCAGCCGAGCCGACAGCGGCGTGGAAAGCATCCAAGGGGAGCAAAACAGGACCAGAAGGCGGAGGAGGAGGAGGAGGAGGAGAGAGAGAGACGGGGAAACAAACGGAGAGAGAGCGAAGTGGAAGGAAAAACATCGCGGCGGCGGCGGCCGAGGCTCGGAAGGGAGGGCGTCCCCACCCAGGTCGCCGGAGCGGCCCAAGGTTCTCCGGGAGCGGCCGCGGCTGCCTCCCGGTCCCCGCCCCGCCCCGTCCCCGCCGCCGCCGGGCCCCCCGTCCCCCCGGGCTCCTCCGGTCCCCGCCCCGCCCCGCCCCGCCCCGCCTCGTCCCCGCCGCCGCCGCCGGGCCCCGGTCCCCCCGGGCTCCTCCCGGGCGCCGCGCCGGACGGAGCGGCGGAGCCACCTGTTAGGAGGCGCGCGCCATCCGAAGCCCCGGGATTCGGCGGCGGCGGCAGCGCTGCGGAGCCCCCAGAACGTGGTATCCGCGTGGGGCCCCCCAGAACGTGGCGTCCGCGTGGGGCTCCCCCAGAACTTGGCGTCCGCGTGGGGAGCCCCCCGGAACTTGGCGTCCGCGTGGGGAGCCCCCCAGAACTTGCTGCCCGCGCGGGGATCCCCCCAGAACTTTGTGTCCGCGCGGGGAGCCCCCCCAGAGCTTGCTGCCCGCGCGGGGAGGCCTCCGGGGTGCGCTCGGACGCCGCGCCTCTGCGCTGGGTGTTCGCCCCCCACCCCTGCCGCCTTCCTCGCCGGGGCGCGGGGCGCGGGGCGCGGGAGGAGGGTGCCCGCCGTCCCAGCTCCCCCTCCCCGGCCCCCCCGCCCCCCGCCGGCGCGGCGGCGGGAAAGTTGCGCCCGGGAGTCGGTACCTGCGCTGAGCTCCAGGCTCGCCCCGTCAGCGCCGGCTCCGCTGCTGCCCGCGCCGGCCGCCGGCCCCGCGCCGAACCGGACGACGGCGGCGAAGGACGAGGACGAGGCGGCGGCGGCGGGGGCGGCGGGCGTCCTCGGGGGCCCCTGGGGGGCGGCGGAGGGCGAGGACGACGAGGGGGCGGCGGCGGCGGTGACCGCGCGGCCGGGCGCCGGGGGGTAGGCGCTGGGCGCGGGGAACGGCGGCGGCGGCGGCTCGCTGCAGCCGCTGGAGCCGGCGGCGCGCGGCGCGAAGGGCGGCGGGGGCGGCCGGCCGGGCGGCGGCAGCTCCACCAGCGTGGGGCGCTCGTAGCGCCGGGCCAGCGCCGGCCTCTTGCCCGGGAACGTCTTGAGGACGCTGTAGGGGCCGCGCTGCTTGTAGATCTTGGGGGCGCTGGGCCCCTCCTCCGCCGCCGGCTGCATCGCCGCCGCCTCCTCCATGCCGCGCCCCGGGACCGCTCGCCGGCCGCACGCCCCCTCCGCGGGGCTCCGAGGGCTCCGAGGGCGCCCCCGCCGCAGCCCGTCCGCCGCCGGCGCTGCCCGGGCGCGCGCGGGCGGGAGGGAGAGTGTCTGCGCCGCGGCCGCCGTCCCCGCCGCCTGTCGCCAAGCCTGGCATCGCGGGCCCCCGCGCGGGGGGCTGCCGCCCAGAGCTGATTGACAGGCCGCCGCGCCAATGCCTGGAGGGAGAGAGCAAGTCAGGAGCGAGTGTTTAGGGTAATAGCTGCTAATGATCACGGGGGAGGGGCGGGGCCTGCCGCCGCCGCCGCCGCCGCCGCCCGCGGGGGGCCCCATCGACGGGGTGGGGGCAGTGGGGACCCCCCCCCCCAAGGGGGACCTGTTGGCCGGGAGGTGTCAGCCTAGGTGAGACGTCCGAGTCCCAGATGTGGGGTCGTGGCATGGTCTGCTAGCGGCGTCCAGTTTGGGAAAGTAGCTCCTGGCACGTCCCTACGTTACCCTAAACTCCAGGCGGTGCTGGGCGAGGCTGGGGGTAGCGGGACAGACGGGGCGGGGTGGCTGGAGGGTGTGCGTGCCTTGGAGGGTAGCTCCCCAGTTCGGGAGTGAGCCCCCTCCCCTAGCCTCCCGCCATGGGAAGATCTTGACCCAGGCTGCTTGCTTGCTGCGCCAGGTTTGCACGCCCCGGGTTCCGCCCACACCCAGCAAGGGGCCTTGGAGTGCAGGCTGGTCATCAGCGCGCACAGGGCGTTGCATTTTCTCAGGATCTCGTTAGTTCTCTGTCAGGGGCCCTGAGAGTGCACAGCAGAATTGTTCTCCCCCATTCTACAGATGGGAACACCGAGGCTCCTCAAGGAAAAAGCGCAAAGCCACACAAGAGCATCTAGATCGTTTGGATTCCAATCCTCACTTCTCTCCTAGCAGACAGACTCTCTGTGCAGTTGAGGGTAAAATATGACCTCAAAGGGAGGGTGGGGATAAAAGGGAGAGATCAACCGAAGGACTTATGTGCATACATGTGAGCCTAACCGGTGGTCGAGGACAATAGGGGGGAGGGGGCATGAGTGAGGTGGAGGGTGGGGGATTGGAATGGGGGGTTGAGGACAAATATGTGATACCTTAATCAATAAAGAAATTTAAAAAGAAAAAAAAAATGACCTGACACTTCCCTTTGGGATGGTGATTAGATACTTTCAAATGTTATTTGATATATGGGGTGTGTCCCCTTCTTCCCGCCCCCCCCCCCAAAAAAATGCATGTACACTTGAACAACTGATAGCTCTCCATTTTGAAAATGAAATGCATTTTAATACAACACTCCCTTTATAATTATTCCCAAAGTGTGTGCATACATTTTGGAGACACTTTATACATGTATATGTGCCTGTAGGGCCAAGCTGGCAGGAGAGCTCTCACCCTGCATGGAGCAGGCAGTTCCTCTCTGCATCTGGGGCCACCAGGCCAGGGTTTCGGGAGAACACCAATGAGAGAAGAGCCTCCTCTATAGTTTGGAGGGGGATCCCATGGCGCTAGAGATGTCTCCCAGCCACTTTTTAGAGCAAATCCCCCTTCCCGTAGGCCAGTGGTCTGCAAACTCATTAGTCAACAGAGCCAACTATCAACAGGACAAAGACTGAAATTTCTTTTGAGAGCCAAATTTTTAAAACTTAAACTTCTTCTAATGCCACTTCTTCAAAATGGACTCGCCCAGGCCGTGGTATTTTGTGGAAGAGCCACACTCAAGGGGCCAAAGAGCCGCATGTGGCTCTTGAGCCGCGGTTTGCCAGCCAGGGCCCTAGGTCAACTCCAATACCAGCATACCCTCTTCCAGATGTGTTTTCCCAGCCTTCAATCTTCTTTCTCCAGGTTGGAATTTGGGGCACATCTCCTTGATGAATGACCCTCATTTTTCCACTGGGAAGTTATGCTGGTTTTCATAGCTCTCCTTTCAGTCTTGGGGAATGACCCATTTTTCTCTTTCTGGGAGTCCGGGTCTTTTGGCTTCTCATTTCCCGCAGCCCCTCCCTTATTTCGAAGCCTTCTCTCTCTTTCCTGCTTCAGCTTCTGTGTTCCTCCACCCTGGATAGTCTCCCTTTCTCCTGCAGCCTCAGATGGTGCTGTGGTTCCTACCCAACCTCCATGTATTAGAGATGAAATAAATAATGCCATAAATAAAAGTATTTGGGAGTCCAGGAACTGTCAGGGCTGATTAGGGCATAGAGGACATTTTCTTTCTCATTATGCAAAAGCATTTCATGGGGAAATAAAAGAGGTTTCATTGTAACTCATGCATGTCATATTTCAAGGAATTCAAGATATTAATCATATTTAACATTATTTGCAACGTTTCTCCCCGGCTTCTGAAATCTGCTAAATGAGGACACGTGGATCACTGGGAAAAGGGGAGACAAGCATGAGAGGGACAGTTAAAAAATAATGAAATGCTGGTGGAAGACAGGGAGAGAGAATGAGATGCCAGAAAGATGTTTCTGAGGCGCATAAGTGAGAAATGGGAGAGCTGCTTCTGAGACGTGAGACAGCTGAAATTGAATGATCTACCGGAGGAAATAAATGATAACAAACCTCCCCACACTTTTCTTTCTGTAAAGCAGTTCTGAATTTTGCATTGAAATGTTTCCCTCCCACTTTACTCCCAGATAATTTGCCAGTAAGTCCAGGCATTTGAAAAGAAATTGGGGTAGTGGCAATGTGTGTGTGTGTGTGTGTGTGTGTGTGTGTGTGTGTGTGTATGGGAGGGGTTGTTAGAATTTTTACTGAAGAAGTAATTTTCTATCCCCAGAGCTTCCTCTTTTGCTTATGCATTTTTAATTTGTATCATCTCCATCACTTAAATCACCGTAAGAGACTAGGAAAAATAATGTCTGTTGTTATATTTTTCCAACTGAAAGGACCTGCCATCCTGTATATCAGAAAGTGGTTGTTTCTAATAAAACTAAATGCTGAAATTAGTGATTTCGCTTTTTTTTTAAAAAAAAAGTGTGGGTGTGGGAGAGTGGGTGGAGGGCTCTAAGAGGAAGAAAAATATATAATAAATTTAAAAATGATCAGCTTTCAGATCCTCATGCTAGCAGTCACCTATGTCTGGGCCCATAGAAAAATGAAGTGCTTAATAATCACTCTTCAGAAAAGAAAATGGGTATTTATTTCCAAGTTTGGAGATGAACTCAATTAAAAAAAAATGTAACTGATTTAATAATTGCTGCCTGGGATTGTACTTAGTTGAGTAGTGTACATAAATGCTATGTAGTCAAATGTTTATAAAATCACTGGTAGCACTTTGTAAGCTTACAGTCTACATCAGTGATTTTCAACTTTTCTTTGTGGCATACATAAACTACCAAAATTCTGCAGAACATCAAAAAGTATACTTTTTGCCAATCTAAAAAATATATATAGGCATAATTTTAATTCATTCACACTGGACAGCTCTTGTGTTTAAAAAATATATATTCTATTGATTTTTTTACAGAGAGGAGGGGAGAGGGACAGAGAGTCAGAAACATTGATGAGAGAGAAACACCATCAGCTGCCTCCTGCACAACCCCCACCGGGGAAAAGACTGGTTGAAAATCGCTGGGCCACATGATCAGATGGTGACTTTACTGACAAATTCTCTTTAGGGTCTCCTAGGGGCTAGTAGGATAGTAATTGCACTCATGCCTTAAATATTTACTCTGCATTTCAGGGGGGAAAAAATAGATAGTAAACTTTTAAAAGGGAAGTGGCTATTTATAGACAGGGTGATTTTTTTTGATTGGCAGCATGTCAGTGTCTTGAGCCATCCAGAATATGGCTTTTAAATCATGTCAGCCATGGGAAATGCTTTTTATTGCACCAATTTCAGTGATATTTAATGAGCTCCTGATTGACTGTTTGATCTCTCAATGTTTTGTGCTACTTTTAATTCATTTCATAAAATAAGGGGAAAAGTAATTGGAATAAAATTTTGGGACAAGATAATGACCTTCCACTTTGAAATTAAATGTCTGATTAGCTTCAACATTTTGATGCTGAGATGACACTGCAGCGGGAACAGGGGTGCACACACTGTCGTTTGGTGGAAAATGACTGAGGAATGCTCCTTTGCGTTTCCCAGTGCAGAGCAGAAAGGGGTGGTGGCCATAAATCATGGGTTGATAGTGCAAGAAGGAACCTTAACAGTCTTTTCGTCGTGTGACTGAGCTTATGCCTACAGCTTTTCTATGACCCTGTCAGATGCTTAGAAACCTCCGGTGATAGGGACCTCGCTACTTCCAGAAGCATCATTTACTCAGGGAGTTTTGCAACAGATATTTATTCACTGTCTACCATATGCTAGGTACCTTTCTAAGCACTGGGGGTATAATGGAACCAGATTCCCAAATCCTACTATTATGGAATTGGGATGGGCAGATAATAAACAAACTAGTAACTAACTGAACACTATTTTTAAAAAATATATCCTGACCAATTTGCATATTATCCTTTTATTGATTGATTTATTTAATTTTTTAAAAATATATTTTATTGATTTTTTTACAGAGAGGAAGGGAGAGGGATAGAGAGTTAGAAACATCGATGAGAGAGAATCATGCATCAGCTGCCTCTTGCACACCCCCTACTGGGGATGTGCCTGCAACCAATTTACATGCCCTTGACCGGAATTGAACCTGGGACCTCTCAGTCCACAGGCTGACATTCTATCCACTGAGCCAAACTGGTTTTGGCTAACTGAACACTATTAATATACAGGTGTCTCCCAAAAAATGTATACATATTGTAATAGCTGATAGCTCAATTTTGAAAACGAAATGTATTTTAATAAACACTGCCTTTATAATAACCAAAAATGGGTATGTACCTTTTTGGGACACCCTATATTTATATAATATATAATAAACAAATACAATATACAGCATGATAGATGGTGACATGTGGCAGATAGGAAAGGAAAGGGTAGTACCACATGAATAGGTCCTTGGAAACTG